AGATTTATTTCTTCACAAAAGTTGTGTTCATTTCAATGAAAAGCGATTCAAATGTAATGAAGATAATTGTGATAAAAGCTATGCCTCACAAAAGTTTTACACAAAAATCGTCTTTATTTAAACATAAAAGTTGTGTTCATTTGAAAGAAAAGAGATTCAAATGTAATGAAGAAAATTGTGACAAAAGTTATGCCTCAAAATCAGGATTAAATGAACACAAACGCATACATTTGGGAGAAAAACCATTTGTTTGTGATTTCAATGATTGTAACATAGCTTTTAACGCAAAATACTCTTTATTTAAACACAAAAGTTGTGTTCATTTGAATGAAAGGAAATTCAAATGTAATGAAGAAAATTGTGACAAAAGGTTTGGCCAGAAATCAAATCTAATTCGACACAAACGCAAACATTCGGGAGAAAAACCATTGATTTTTAATTTCAATAATAAATAGTTTACTGATTTATTTGAATGATTGTGAAAAACAATTTTTCACTAAAACTCGGTTAACAAATCATATGAATGCAATTCATTTACACATTAAATTATTCAAATGCACTCAATTTGGTTGCAATCAAAGCTTTACTGTTAAACAATCGCTAACTAATCACTTAAAATCCAAACATTAAATGCAATCATATTTATTTCATTAATCTCACCAGTAACAGAATACCAGTAACATTATATTTGTAATTAATTTTTCATAAATAATAATCAATAAAATATCAATTATTTCATTTAGTTTAATGAAATATACTATTATCCCAATTAATAAATTATTATTTATAAAATATGCATTATTATTTTACTAATCATATTTTTTTTAAAAATCGTGTAATTTATTATACGACAATTTCAATAATAATAAATCTGCATTTTTAATTACCCATCATTATTCATCGCATAATCATAATTTATATATTATTTAGAAAAAATATTTATTTTATTAAATTATATTTGTATTTATTAATTTAATCTAATAATTAATATTATGATAAATTTGCCATATTTGTAATTATTTATCATTTTAATTAAAAGTAAATAAAATCAAAATCATGGTTAATTTATTTTAAATTTTGTGCAATGTATCGTCCAATCAATGAGTGATTGATTAGACTTTAAACCAATCCATGAGATGGCGATCACAGAGTATGTGAAGCACTGCTTGACTGACATTGGAGTCGATAAATAGTTTTAGCTCTCAATGAGAGCACCCGTTGTATAGGAACCGGATATTAGACTATATTGTGAGGGAATAGCCGTTGGATTCACATTAGGTTTGCATTCAGTTTCACATCATTTCAAAAGAAGTCAACATTTGTTTCATTTATTGTTTGAAAATTGAATTTATATTAATGAGTGTTTCGTTCATTGAATTGCTTTAAGTGTTGTTTAGTTTCAGTTCATATCAAATATCGATTGATTTAATTTGTGTTTTAAGTTATTTATCAAAATGTCTTCAAATTCATTGAGTGTTTCTATGAATGAAATGATTTGCAAATTAATTGAAATCAAGAGTTTTTGTAAAAAAATAGATAAAATGAAATATATTTTGTATTCAAATAATAGTGTTTTGTGTGAAGCGATTGGATGTGAAAATAATGACAATATTTCAATCGTTGCAATATTGCAATTCAATCAAAATTAGTGATAAAATGCTCCCCAAAAGTGATATCATTACTAAATCTGATGATTATTTCCACTGTTTTTGGCCTAAATGTCAATTCACGACAAAGACAAAACAAACTTTGACTCAACATCAATTAATTCATTCAGAAATAAAACCATTTAAATGTGATTTTAATAATTGTAATAAAGTTTTTAAATGCCAACGAACTCTTAATAGCCATAGAAATGGCGTTCATTTAAATGTTACATTTGTTTGTGATTTTAAAGATTGTAATAAAAGTTTTCAACTAAAACAATATTTAAATCAACATAAAAATAATGTTCATTTAAATCGTGGTAAAGAATTGCACTGTTTTTGGCCTAAATGTCAATATAAAACAACAATTAAAGGCAATTTTATTCAACATAAATTACTTCATTCACATAACAAGCAATATAAATGTGATTTTAAAGATTGTAATAAAAGTTTTACACAAATAACAGGTTTAATATCTCATAAAAATTGGATTCATTTGAATAAAAGGAGACTTAAAAGCAATGAATTGATTACTAAATCTAATGAATATTTGCACTGTTTTTGGCCTAATTGTGATTACAAGACAACAAATAAACATCACTTAAAACAACACAAAATAATTCATTCAGAAAAACGTGAATTTAAATGTGATTTTTGTGATCAAAGTTATAAACGAAACGAACAATTAGTTCATCACAAAAATGCCATTTATTTAAATAATAAGCAATTTGTTTGTGATGTCAATGAATGCAACAAAAGATATGCCCGAAAGAGAGATTTATTTCTTCACAAAAGTTGTGTTCATTTCAATGAAAAGCGATTCAAATGTAATGAAGATAATTGTGATAAAAGCTATGCCTCACAATCAGGATTAAATGACCACAACATACGCATACATTCGGGAGAAAAATCATTTATTTGTGATTTCAATAATTGTAACAAAGCTTTTACCGCAAAAAACGCTTTGATTCAACACAAAAGTAATGTTCATTTGAATGAAAGGCTAATCAAATGTGATTTTCCCGATTGTAAGCAAACCTTCAAACAAACCAATCATTTGGTCGCTCATAAAAATAGCATTCATTTAAAACTTAGATTTGTTTGCGATTTCAATGACTGTAACAAAAGTTTTGTTGATAAATACAGATTATTTCAACACAAAAATTTTGTTCATTTAAACGATAATAAATTTAAATGCAATGAAGAAAATTGCGGCAAAAAATTTATATCAAATTTAGCACTTAATGTTCACAAACGCATACATTCGGGAGAAAAGCCATTTGTTTGTGATTTTCAAAATTGTAACAAAGGTTTTCATAAAGTGTCATATTTAAAAGACCATAAGAGCACTCATTTAACTGTTAAACAATTTAAATGTCATTACAAGGATTGCGGCGGAAGTTATGTAAACAATAAATATCTTCAAAGACATGTCAGAGAATATCATAAAAAATAAATTCAGATTAAAATTTTATATTATTTATAATTTTTATTAATTCTCTTTATTAATATTTAATTCATTGCTTGGATTTATAAATATTAATGTATAATAACTTATTATGATTTTTATGTAAATGTTTTATATAAATGTCATAATTACCAAATCATAAGGACACTCATTTACCTGTTAAACAATTTAAATGTTTTATCAATTATTGTCAAAAGTGTTTTTGTTAAAACATATCTTTCATATCATATTAGAAATTATTACAAAATATAATTTTAAAATTATTTATTATTAAAAATAAGTCAATATTTATATCAATTATTAATGCAATTAAATATTGTAATCATTTATTATTTAACATCATTGCTTCTAAATAAATATTGTAAATCAAATTTAAAAATTTATTTTAATACCTATTTAAAATTAATGTTGAAAATGTTGACATTTGTGTGCTTTTAAAATAAAGTGATTTTTAAAAAATGTTTGTTTATTTTCATTTAGTAATAATTTAAATTTAATTACACATCAAAATCCATGTTTAATAACATGTGTTGACAACGATATCACTGGATGTCTGTCTCAGCGTTTGTTTTTGTTTCAATCAAAATCTCTTCCCTATTATTAGGAAATTATAAAAAAATTTGTTTTCACTAAAACTCGATTAACAGATCACATGAATGCCAAACATTTAGACATTAAACCATTTAAATGCACTCAAATTGGTTGCAATCAATCTTTTGCTGTTAAACAATCGCTAACTATTCACTTAAAATCTGAACATTAAATGCAATCATATTTATTATATTAATATATTTTATACTTTAAATTTGTAATTAAATTTGTTTATTGTAATTAATTAACGTATATCAATTGAAGTGAATCATAGATTATATTAATTATATAAGAATTTCAATCATGTTTTATAATAACAGTAATGCAATACTTTATTGCAAACATTGTTCTATAATTATGAATAACTCATTGTTACTAATCATTATGAATTTGCTTTTACGTATAATCACTTGAATACTGAATTGTGAACAATAAATGATAAAAATGCGAAATATATTAAATGATCAATAAAATGGATGTTTATTATGAGACCCGAAATGTGCAGTCGTCTCACAATTATTTCATTGACTTTCATTATTCCTGCTATTTTCGTTAAGGCTCATAGTTAATCGCAAACTTATCATTATTATATGAAATAAGTTTAATTAAATAGTCTTTATATTTAATAATCTAATAACATAATTAATTGTTATGATTTATTAATAATTTTAATTAGAAAAAAATAAAAAACAATATCATGGTTGTTTATATTTAAATGTTGTGCAAATAATTATATCGTCCAATCAATGAGTGATTGATTAGACTTCAAACCAATTCATGAGATGGCGATCACAGATAGTGTTGCCAGGACATTTTCCCTATTTCCTTGATATATTCATTTTTTAAGTAAATTTTCCGGGAGATTCCTTGAGATTTTCTAAAGAATTCCTTGATTCTTTCCTTGAGGTGTCAAAATTATCCTAAAATGTCATTAATTATCAAATTAATCAGTCCAAATCCAAAGTAACGTTTAAAACTACATTATTTTTGACATTATTCACTTAAAATTACTATACTCATTGTGATTCTCAACAAATCAAATATTTTGAATTAAGTTAAACTATAATTGTGAATTCAATAACTGTAGTATTCATCTTTATACTTTGTTTCCAAGCAAAAAATTATAAATTCTATCAAAGTATTTATCATCATGCAATTCCGGGAGCTCCCCATATCAAGGTAAGACCCCCGCCGGGAGACGGGAGTCAGACCCTGATTCCGGGAGACTCCCGGGCAACCGGGAGCTTCTGGCAACACTAATCACAGAGTATGTGAAGCACTGCTTGACTAACATTATAGTCGATAAACAGTTTTTAATAATTTATCAATGAGACTTTCAATAGGAACCGGATATTAGACTATATTGTGAGGGAATAGCCGTTGGATTGACATTAGGTTTGCATTCAGTTTCACATCATTTCAAATGAAGTCAACATTTGTTTGAAAATTGGATTCAAATTAATGAGTGTTTCGTTCATTCAATTGCTTTAAGTGTTGTTTAGTGTCAGTTCATATCAAATATCGATTTAATTTGTGTATAAGTTATTTCTCAAAATGTCTTCAAATTCAATGAGTGTTTCTATGAATGAAATGATTTACAAATTAATTGAAATCAAGAGTTTTTGTGAAAAAATAGATAAAATGAAATGTATTTTGTATTCAAATAATAGTGTTTTGTGTGAAGCGATTGGATGTGAAAATAATGACAATATTTCAATCATTCAAACAATTGATTGCAATTCAATCAAAATCAGTGATAAAATGCTAACCAAAAGTGGTTTAATTAGTAAATCCAATGATTATTTTCATTGTTTTTGGTCTAATTGTCAATTCAAGACAATATATAGAAAATCTTTAACTAGACATCAATCAATTCATTCGGAAATAAAACAATTTAAATGTGATTTCAATAATTGCAATAAAAGTTTTAAACGAAAATCATATTTAAATCTACATATAAATTACATTCATTTGAATCGTGGTAAAGTACTGCAATGTTTTTGGCCTAAATGTCAATATAAAACAACAATTAAAGGCAATTTTATTCAACACAAATTCCTTCATTCAAATAACAAACAATATAAATGTGATTTTAAAGATTGTGATAAAAGTTTTAAACAAATAACAGGTTTAATATCACATAAAAATTGGATTCATTCAAATAAAAAACGATATAAAAGTAATGAATTAGTAACTAAATCCAATGAATATATGCACTGTTTTTGGCCTAATTGTGATTATAAGACAACAAATAAACAACATTTAAAACAACACAAAATAATTCATTCAGAAAAACGTGAATTTAAATGTGATTTTTGTGATAAGAGTTATAAACGAAACGAACAATTAGTTCATCACAAAAATGCCAATCATTTAAATAATAAGAAAAAATTTGTTTGTGATGTCAATGAATGCAACAAAGAGTTTACCCGAAAACTATACTTAATTAATCACAAAACTTGTGTTCATTCGATTGAAAAGCCATTCAAATGTAATGAAGAAAATTGTGGCAAAATGTTTGCTAAAGAATACCTATTAAATACACACAAACGCATTCATTCGGGAGAAAAATCATATATTTGTGATTTCAACGGATGTAATGCAAGCTTTAAAAGAGTTAATCATTTATCTCAACACAAAAGTAATGTTCATTTGAATGAAAGGCTAATCAAATGTGATTTTCCCGATTGTAAGCAAACATTCAAACAAACCAATCATTTGGTCGCTCATAAAAATAGCATTCATTTAAAACTTAGATTTGTTTGTGAGTTTAATGACTGTAACAAAAGCTTTGCAGACAAATACAGATTACTTCAGCACAAAAAGTTTGTTCATTTAAACGATAATAAATTTAAATGTAATGAAGAAAATTGCGGCAAAAAATTTATATCAAATTCAGCACTCAATGTCCACAAACGCATACATTCGGGAGAAAAGCCATTTGTTTGTGATTTCAAAGATTGTAATATGAGTTTTCATAAAATGTCATATTTAACAGACCATAAGAGCACTCATTTAACTGTTAAACAATTTAAATGTCATTATAAGGATTGTGGCGGAAGTTATGCCAGCAATCGATATCTTCAAAGACATGTTAGATATGTTCATAAAAAATAAATTGATAATGAAATGTAATATTATTATTAAATTTCTTAAATTCTTTGTATTTACTATTAATGTTTAATCATTAATAATCAATGTTTGGATTTATAAATATTGTATTAATGTTTAATAAATTATTGCAATCTTTATGTAAAGGATTTACTGTTTAACAATTTGAATGTTTTAAAAATTATTGTAAAAGTTTTTTAGTTAAAACATATCTTTTATATCATATTAGAAATTATCACAAAATAAAATTTGAAAATTAGTTATTATTTTATTATTTAAAAAAATCAATATTTATATCAATTATTAATGCAATTAAATATTGTAATCATTTGTTGTTTAACATTATTGCTTATAAACAATGTTTGAATAAATAATTCTATTATTTGTATTAAAAATTTAATTCAATATTGAATTAAAAATATATATTTAAATACTTAATTAAAATTAATTTTGAAAATGGTTACATTTGTGTGCTTTTAAAATAAAGTGACTTCTAAAATATTTTTATTTATTTAACAATTAATAAAATGTAACTACACATCAAAATCCATGTTTGATAACATGTGTTAACAATGATATCACTGGATGTCTGTCTCACTATTTGTTTTGGTTTTAATCAAAATCTCTTCCCTATTATTACGATATTTAACAAAACGCTGTTATGTTTTGGTAGCTTTGGAACTCGTCTTGAGCTGACATTCTTAACCATAAACCCTATGAAAGAGACATAACTTTGAATGACTTTATTGAGGCCACAAAAACATCGGACAGTGTTTACCACGGATTGGATGTGAAACGAGTGGACGACTATTATCTACAAAATGTCGACAAAAACAGTTCACTTGAGCTCAAGAAAGCGTTTTATCAATTGTTTGGGATATAGTTATCAAATGTAATCAATTAAATGAAATACAAATTAATTAAATTATTATTTTTTAAATTGAATTATAAGTGATTTATATTCTATTGTATGAAATGTATCATTACTTTAGGACTTTGTCTCGAAATGAATTTACAAAATATTAAATTAATATAAAGTTCATTAGAATTTTTATGTTGTAAATATATTTCAGATTTAAATTATAATAATTGTATTCAAATGTGATATCAACTTAAGTTTTAATGTAGTTGTGTTTTCCACAATTCCCAATACCTGAAAACATGGTAACAATATTTGATAAACAGGTTTTTCACAGTCAATGAGAGCACGTGTTGTAAAGGATATCCATTATCTTTTGAGTTGCCTTTCATTTTCTTTTCCATTGAGTTTCACTTCATTTCAAATATAAATCTCATTTTTGTTTTGTATTTAAATTGTGTTTTAATTATTGATTTAAAATGTGTTCAAAATTAATGAGTGTTTCGTTGATTGAAATGAAGAGTAAATTCAATGCAATGAAGAGTTTGTGTG